CGTGATGACATAATCTCATCTGACAGCACCCTGGTACTGGATGTGCGAGACTTGGATTCGATGATAGACAATTATCATCAATAATTACAAATATTGTCATAATTGTTATAAAGTCTTTTCGTCAAGCCTCCTGGAGTATTTCCTCTCATTTGGACGTTGTTACCTCAGTTGGACTACAAAGCGGTTGAACTTAGTTCGAATTACCAACGGGGCGTTCAGAACATAGCCAGAGTTTAAAGCTGTCCTCCCATTTGGCCCGTCCAATCGGAAATTGACTCTAAATTCGGAGGTCCCTCCTCTCAATCAACCTAATAATATTGAAAAGGGCGTTAAACATATTAAATGAACTGTAACCAAACGTTCCGATGTTTTCACTGGGTACATGAATATTCCTCCTTTAGAACTTCCCATGCTGTTTAAGAGCGTGTTTATTTATTTATTATTCGTTGTTATATAGATAGAAAGCACGCATCTGTGCTGTTGACATTTGAATGTTTACATGTCATAGACATATATTTCCGAGGAAATATAATCTGCTATCACACACCGTGCAGACAAATCAATTCATCAAGTGATATAATATGGGGATTTGCAATGTATTGTACACCATGTTTGCTTCGCATGCTCTTTTGTTCTGCTCTCATTTTTTTCTCTTTTAGCCCTTTTCGGGTTTTTTTTAACGTTTTGTCATCAACATCACTAACAAGATTATCACCATCATTATTGTCGTCGTCGTCGTCGTCGTCATCGTCGTCGTCGTCGTCGTCGTCGTCATCATCATCATCATCACCATCCTCATCATCAACAACAGGAGTTTTATCATCAACATCAACAACAAGAACAAAATGATTATAATCAATGAAAACAACATCAAGAACACAACGCAACATCAAACAAGAACAAAAGAAAAACAGAATAACATCGCTTCCCCCCTCCCCAGGACTGTGAATGCATTGGTCTACTACGCACTGGTGTTCAACGTGTCCAACATGGGCGGGTCTATTTACGTCAACTTTGCTTTCACTAACGGCGCAGATCTCTTAGGACTGATCGTGGTCTTCGTGGTTGTTGATCGATTAGGTTTGGTATATCTTTTCTACCGTAGTAGTAGTAGTAGTAGTAGTAGTAGTAGTAGTAGTAGTAGTAGTAGTAGTTGTTGTTGTTGTTGTTGTTGTTGTTGTTGTTGTTGTTGTTATTGTTGTTGCTGTTGTTGTTGTCGTCGTCGTTGCTGCTATTATTGATGTTGTTGTGTTACTGATGTTATTGTTGCTGTTGTCCTTGTTGTTGCTTTTGTTGTTGTTCTTTGAAGAATGCCATTTTAGACTTTGATGTGGTCACTTTGAGGACGCAGTGTTTAGTTTTCCCAGAGAGAAAGGTCGAATGAGATTTGGACTCCACCTGCTCCGAAACTCAGTTGTTGACTTGTTCATCCCATTCACATTGAATGCTACTTTTGGCTACCTTTATTTACTAGTTTCGTTATTGTGTTTCCTTGTATACATTTTGCAGCCATATTTATGTCATTGAAGAAGTTCTGCCTTTAGTACAAGGTCGGCCTTCCTTTGGACAGGATGGCATGTTTTAGCTCAGTAAATTGTATGTGTTACTGTTAATCTGATTTTTTGTTGTGAGGATCCATGTGTATTTTAACGCATGTCTACATTTGCAGGGCTCCAGTGTCAGATTATTCGAAAATCTACCGGTACATAAAAAACACCTTGTCAAATATTAGTGCGGGTCGAAGTGGGAACCTCCAACATTAAAGTAAGGATGCCTGAATGTCTTAACAATTTTATATGTATTTCATTTTACTAATCCTAGGACAGGCAACAGGCCTTGAGTGTTTCCATGTAAGAGTAGTCTCAACGGTTATACCATGTTGGTTGATTTGAGAGGTCTGATACAGAACCTTGTAACAGCATGAAGTAAACATGTTATCATTACTTATAATTATTATTAAAGTTGAAAAAAGTATAAAGAGATGGTGTGAGAATTTAATCGGAAAATGGATCTAGATTTGAAAGGAAAGTCTGTTTTATTAGAAAGGTAAATTCATACCACCGATATATCGTGGGTTATCACGGAAAGAGTTAAAGGAAAACAGGTACTACTGACCGTCTACAAGTATTCTGAACCTTCAGCAGTTTAGACCTAATACCCGAGCCACTGTCTCATGTTGGTTTCAAATTAAATAAAAACAATCTCACGCTCGCTTGTTTCTTTTTCCCTACTACCGCCACCCTTTCCCCCTCTTTCCACCCTCTAAAAACCTAGCACAAAATAAGCAAGTGGCTATACTCCGGCGTCGCGCCGGTCAATAGATCAGAAGCTATTCTCCGGCGTCGCGCCGCCGGTCTATTACTAATAATTTGTCGGCGCAGATTTGCAAAAACCTCTCTCACCTGTTTGTCTTGGAAAAAAATTCCTACAACTTTACCACTTCATGTCACTTCCATTGATACAGACGATAGGTTTTCAGACACAAACTGCCCCAATTCCTCCAATTTGAAATTATGTTGGGTGCTAGAAGAAACGTGTTCACAACTATTGACGCAAATTCATAACAAAGAGTGAGCATAAGAAGGAGTCACATTTTCGCTGTTTACAAAAATGGAGATACGACAAGAAAGTACTGAAGTCGCGACATATCAGTTAAATTGATCGAAAATTGCAACAACAAGAAATATGTTAAACAGCAAGCTATACTATGACTAGACAGGATTTTAGACCCAAAATCAATTTTGTTCTTTTAAACAAACAGAATAATTGTTTTAAAATAAGCAAATGAACGATGGAAATAAATGAATAAAGTTATGATAGACAATTACCATAGATAAAATATAATGAAAGGTAGACTTACTAGACCTAGTTATGACGCCGGATAATAGCTTCCGATCTATTGACCGGCGAGACGCCGGAGAATAGCCACTTGCCAAAAAATAACCCTAACCAAAGTTGTTCCCGCGTCCGATCCGGACATTGGGGATTGCCTTATAAGTGAGACAACTTCCAGGGCCTCGGCATATTATGGTAGTGTGGCCAGTTATTTTCCACGCCACCTATACTTCCCCAACTGCTGGGTGGGCAGGAGAGGGCGAAAAAAATTCGTGTCCGAACCGAGACTCGAACCCGGACTTTCCACTTTGGAGACGAGCGCACTATCCGCTCCGCCACGCACCAACGAAAACAATAAAAAAAAACAATTCAAAAACAACAACCAATCAAAACAAGGTAAGAAATACATCAATATCAGCGCAAAGAGAAATTCAGGTTGGATTCATCCGACATAATTTAATCATGTTTAATTGTTTCAGTTACCTAAGCATTGTTTCTGAATACCCCCAAATTGTCTAGGAAGTAGCATCATTGGCACCAGCAGATCAAGTTCAAACACTTTAAAAAACCGCAACTAGGTTTTCTAACAAACTCTGAAACATGTTTACCGGAAAGAAAGTGTAGGTGTTAAAAAGATGCAGCCCAACAAACTTTAATAACTTTTTTCAACTTTGATCTCTCTGTGACCACTGTTTTCAATCAATCGAATTACTTCATACTGTGCCTTTTCTCAAAGATTTCATTTTATATAACGTTTAGATCTGACTATCAATTAACCCTTGTCTTCAGGACGAAAGGCGAGCTACGAGGCATTCCTGCTTCTGTCAGCAGTAGCCTGCCTTGCCACCGTCATCCCCTTTTACTTTGCAGAGCCAGGTAAGACGTTGCTCGTTATTACTGATTTATTTTATTACCTCAAATTATGACCAAATTGGATGCAAATACAGTAAAAAGAGTTAAAAACAGCAGCAGCAACCGCAACAACAGCGACAGCATCGACGGCAACAAAGACAAAAAACTTCGCACCTCGCTACCCCCCCCCACCCCCCCCCCCACCCCCTGCAGCAGCAAACATCGGTGGAGGAGGAGGGGGGTGTACGATTTCCCGATAAAAATTGAATCAATGACAAAGGAGATGTTGCATTTATACAACCAAAAGGGCATTCTTATTGGGTAGGCGGCAATAAAAAACAAAAACTCAACTTACACATAATATGTCTGTTGGTACTCCAAACCTACTCGCCTTAAAGTTTCATAGCTATTCACCAATTGATAATTTTGTTTGATGTTTCTATATAGAGATGATATAATACTGGCATTGTTTCTTTTATTGCTCTTCTATGTATGATCAGAATCAGATAGGTGGCGTCGGTAGCCTAGTGGTTAGGCGACCGGACTCATAATCGTGAGAATGCGAGTTCGGGGGTTCGAGCCTCAGCTCGGTCCAACGTTGTGTCCGTGGGAAAGGCACTTTACACGAACTTCCCACTTGGCTCGGTCCTATCGGAGACGGACGTTAAACTAGGAGGTTCCGCCCCTTAAATAACCTAATAGTGTTGATAGGGGCGTTAAACCTATACCATTTCACCATATTTTTTTTTCAGAATCAGATAGTAAGAGGAATTTCCTTACTGCTGAATTTGTGCACACAAGATAATGTCCTATTATGCTCTTTCCATAGGCATGACTTCAACCATCGTCAACATCCTATCTCTTATTGGTCGGTTTGGAGTGTCCTCCTCCTTCAACATCCTTTTTATGTTCAGTTCTGAGTTTGTACCAACCCCGTTGAGAACCACTAGCTTGGGGATCTTTTCCCTTTCCTCGCGTTTAGGGAGCGTCTCTGGACCGTTCATCGCTGACGTGGTGAGTCAACGAGCCTTCTACCTCCCTTATCGCCTCTCTTACCGTTCTCGCCTTCCAATGTCTAACCCTTCCCCTTCCCCCCAGATAGAGAAACAAGTCAAAAGAGAGACAGAGGGAGAGACTTGAAGGAAGAAAGACAGAGAGAGACAGAGAGAGAGAAGGGAGGCGGGGGGGAGGCGAGAGAGAGAGAGAGAGAGAGATAAAGAGAGAAAAGAGGGGAGAGTGAGATACATGGAGAGAGGGAAGGGAGAGATAAAGAGAGAAAAGACGAGAATGGGATATGCAGGGAGAAAAAGAGAGAGGGAACGAGAGAGAGAGAGAGAGAGAGAGAGAGAGAGAGAGAGAGAGAGAGAGAGAAGAGAAAAAGAAAGAGAGAGAGAGAAAGGAAAATGAAAAAGGGGGGGGGGCAGAGGCATTAACAGAGATGCCTAAAGATCATCTTAATGCCTTTGTCAAGGCCATTGATTTGTTCCAAAAATACCCAGATTCCCTACGTAATAGCATATTATATCTATTGTGAGGACGGAAATGGCAGCGTCTGGGCCTTTTTGCCAGTGTTAGTTAATATTAAAACCAACTGCATTAGTAGTCCAACTGAAAGCAATATTAGACCAGAAAATGAAACAACGTCGTAGTCTGATCATACCTAGGTGTCAGCAAACTATTGTCTTGCGACATGGTGAGCTGACATTGATCATAAACTCTTAAAACCTGACCTTTTGAAATCAGTCGAATCAACTTTAATGGCCACCTGTTCAAGATAATGCCCGTCAAACGACCGCTTTTCACTTGCCCCCTTGCATTTAGTAATATTATACCGTTGTTCAACACGTCCATTTGTCTAAGACAAATATTTTTCTCATGACAATGCGACCCCGTCTTGGACAAGGTCAACTGTACTTACGTTATTTAAGCGATCGGTGTCAATTAAACATACCACAATGTTTGATTTATGTTTGATTTTAACTTTTATTTCGAATTTACATATTGTCCGTAACGAAAGATCAATTTTTTTTTAATGTTATAAAAGCGGGTGTTTTACACTCATACCTTTATTTAAATCATTTAAGAGTTAAGGTTCGACCCTTATTATCGCCAGGGCCAACGTCCCAGCAGAAAGACCTATATGCTTGATAAAAAACCGCCCCACATGGGAATGGAGCTCAGTCTTCTGCGTGCGACAACGAAGTGTCTAACCGCTTCACCACAGACGCTGGTTCTGACATATTTTTGGTGCCAAAATAAGCACTTTTTATAAAACAAACTAAACATTTGCAGCATGTATGCCTTTTACATTTAATTTCATCCTGTTCTTTTAGCAAATTATAAAGTTTGTGTAACTAATTTCTTCTTTTTCTTGTGGCGTAATTTGTGCATTTAATTTGGTCTTTTTCGTGTACAAAATTGAATAATTTGTGCATTTATTTTCGTCTTTTTCTTGAAGTGAATTATACAATTTGTGTATTCAATCGTGTTTTTTTCTGTAGCGAATTGCCCGATTTGTGCATTTCCCCAGGGTGTCCTCCTAGGTGGTCGGATGAAGGAAGTTCTCCCTCTCTTGGTGTGTGGGATAGCTGGCCTTATCGCATTCCTATCTGCACTGATACTTCCTGAGACAAACAAACAGTCTTTGCCAAACACAATCGCGGACACAAAGAATCTCATAAAGTGAGTACGCTGTGAGGACAAAACTTGAGTAATTTTTTTTTCTTTTGTGTTTTCTTTCTAAATATGACATTAACGGCCATCTACTGCAATTAGCCGACACGTTAAGGCCTATCATAGCCGAAGAACCTGGTGCAGTGATGAAGTCATGAAGAAAGAAGGAACATAATAATATACAACTGAAAGGGAAAGAGAAAGACTAGAAAAATAAAGGGTATCGTTGGAGGGGACATTATTCGTACTGAAACTCTAGCCTTTCTCATCGTATAATATGGTATGGTTTAAATGTCCCTATCCAGCACTGTGTCGCTATTCAAGTGACCGGGAATCCAGTTTAAACATGCACCTATGTTAAGACCCAGTCAAGAATGGTAAGAGTATTGATTGTCATTGTAGATATTACACGCCCCCATCCAACAGTTGAGATCATATAGGACGACTCTTTTTTTAACCTGCTTGCTGGGGACAATCCAAGCTGAGAGGGATAGAAGGTCCCAGCAGACATACCAATTGTCTCGACACAAAACACCCAACATTGGAATCGAACTAAGATCTTCTGCGAGAAGCGATGAACCACCCAACCGCTACACAACAGACACCGCTCGGATCCGAAGAGCCTTGAATACTCAGATAAAAAGACCCAGTATAATTAAGAACATCGTGTTAGGGATTTAACCAAGGATTGGATCACTCCATAGCCATGCTGAATACAAACATAACTATTTGTGGGAGGAGGTGGAGAGCGTTGACGTAGAGGACGACTTAGAAATAGAAGAAAAGAAGGACATGAAAACGGGAAAAGATGGAAACAAAGTTGGCAACGACAGGATAACCAAAACAGCACAACCACCACCAACGTCAAAATAGCAAGTCCTACAAGTATGACTAAATAAGATTTACAAGATACATTTTCATGATCCACCTGGGATTTTTGGTGAATGCACCACAGCCCAAATATGCCAAGATTCAGCATCAATACAGAAAGGCACTCATTGTATTCGTGCACAGTGATACTTTAACGGAATTTAACAATGCACAATGCACACCCTACTCACACAAGCGTACACACAATGTCCGCGGGAATAATCTCTCTATCCCCGACACGCTACCCCCCCCTATCTCTCTCTCTCTCTCTCTCTCTCTCTCTCTCTCTCTCTCTCTCTCTCTCTCTCTCTCTCTCTCTCTCTCTCTCTCTCTCACACACACACACACACACACACACACACACACGCCCCCTCTCTCTCTCACACACACACCCCCTCTCTCTCTCTCTCTCACGCAGGCATAAACTCAAAGCGGCGTAAACGCGTGCATACGCACATACACACACGCAAACGCACATACACACACACACACACACACACACGCACACACGCACACACACACACACACACACAAAGTCTTCTTTCTTTTTTTGTCGTATAGGCTATACCAGGCACGCACATACAGCATAATCTCACACAAACAGATCATTCTTGATCACTTCGTCTAGGATATTTTCTCCTTAATCTGACAGGTATTTAGCATTTTTATTCTTTGGCACATTAATCTGTATACATTTTCTACCCAGGTCACAAAAGAAAAAAGGTACTCCCAGTCTTGGATCGTTCGTGCGTGTGACCGATTTAGACGTCCCTGTGTTCATTCCGGATCGAGGAACATCGGAGGAAGAATCCCGGTTGAAACTTTCGGGAATCTAAACTCCTACAAGAAATCAAAGCTACGCTGATGTCTGCTGAAGACGTTTTCTGAAACGGAAAGTGTTTGTGTTTGTGTGTGTACATGCTTTTGCATACGTTTGTATTCGAAGGTATGTTTATGTATTAAGGGTGCATGCGTGCGCGCTTGCACGCACGCGTGTGTGTGAGTGTGTGTGTGTGTGTGTGTGTGTGTGTGCGATTGTGTGTGTGTGTGCGATTGTGTGTGTGTGTGTGTGTGTGTGTGTGTGTGTGTGTGTGTGTGTGTTTGTGTGTGACGCCCGTGTGTGTAGATATATTTTGCTTAAATGAAAGTTTTGTAAATACATCATATGCGTAGTATTATAATTTATATTATACAAAAGGTGAACGCAGCTAGTTTCTCTTGTCCTCCATCCGTAGCAAAGGACACGAAAGTAGACTATGCATAGACTGAAGCATTCTTCAATAATAGTTAGGCAGCGTGGTGAAATCAGGCGCTCGCCAAAATAACCAAATCGGAGAAACAGGCATTTTTTCGTCAGTTTGAACATTTTTATCACGTTTTTTCAATTCCTTGGCTTAACCTCTTTTATTTCCATATAAAAATACATTATACGTAAATTTGACAGAAAAGTATTGATAAAAGGTACAAAATATGTCATTTTTCAGTTTTCAAAGACCTTAGCTATCGGAGTTACCAAATTTTGGTGGCCATTTTCTCGCATATTTCCCCACTGAAACCAGGCGTCCTCTCATCCTTCAATCGCAAATATCTTGAGTTCATTTCATCGATAGATAAACCATAAAATGTACAATTTGATAGAAAATCAGCCATAGTTCCCGTAATAAAAGCCAATGATTTTGGAAATTTCAGCAGTGTTTATCGCGTTATTACTATTATTTTTTTCGTTGTATTGTGAAGTGGGTGTCTTATTCAACAAAGTTTGACAAGGGGACAAAATTAATGTATACCCCCTCCCCCACCCCCTAAAAATACAAAACAGCACATACACGCATCTCCCCCCTGCCTCTCTCTCTTTCTCTCTCTCTCTCTCTCTCTCTCTCTCTCTCTCTCTCTCTCTCTTTATATATATATATATATATATATATATATATATATATATATGTATATATATATATATATGTCTCTCTCTCTCTCTCTCTCTCTCTCTCTCTCTCTCGACGTTTTACACTGATAGGCAAACACACATACACATGCTCATAGAAAAGCACACATACACCCTTACAGTCATGATTTTATGTTTTCTAATCTGTTTACAGCAGTGGTGGTGCTATTGGTACCATCTCTGGGTAAAATAAAAAGGTACACAATAATATTTCATTGAGCTGTAAGGTTTGATTCAATGAACTTTTATAGGTCATTGAGTTGGTTGCTGCACACAAAATATAACGTGGTAATATCAATATATAATTGTGAAAGAAACAACAAGGCGAATGATTTGCTTATATGATGATGATGGCGACTATGATGATGGTGAAGATGATGATGATAGAATTGTTTAGCTGAAATGGTTTTCAGGTTCATATTTTTCATTTATGTTTTATTGAAAAGATGTGATCCCCTAGAGGTCACTCTAGGACTCAGAATATTTGTGTTTCATAGTGATTGGCTTGTTGAAAGGGCGGGGGGGGGGGGGGGGGGGGGGGGTAGTGCTGGCATTCGTTTTCACTTTCAGAACAGAATCAGGTAAGAGACCGAAGAGACCGTAATTCCTGCGCAACAAGCTGGTATGTGATGAGAACAATTAGAACAGGGTAAGTGTTTTACTATTTATTTAGTTTACCCCTCAAAGGTGGAGATAAGGCGTTATATATTTCAGCCTTCAAAAGATCACGAGTCTCATTGGATATAACCCTTCCCATTGCACCCCTTCAACACTAACTCTAATCCTCAAAACCTTCCTCAACATACATTTCAGTAAAGACGTTCTATACATATTCAGCAAGGGGGAACAGTTAAATACTCGTATAATAACTATCTAGTTTTATAGTGCTCAAGAAATCAAACGTTTTAACGTGTAGCATGCAGGATTGGAGTGGGGAGGGCTGAACTCCTATGAAGTATAAGGGGGAGGGGGGACTTCCCCTGGGTAAGGTGGTTTCATCGTATTATGATGACTCCACTCGCCCTGGAGCGGTGGGTCTCCTTGCAGGTCAACCCACAAGTCATGGTACCTATCTCTCTGGATAAACGATCCGGTTAAAACAATAATAGTGAAAAAAATCCCCTGCGTCCAAAAGATATGCTTAACAGGGTATGTACAAACTCAAATCAACATAATGGCACATAAAATATTAAGAAGATATAGAAAATTCAAAACACAAAAGCACAAACCCCAAACCAGCAAAATCAGCATATCTGTCTTGTTGCCTTTGCCTACTCATCTTGGCTGAATAGTTTAGGGGCTTATATTATCGAAGTCATCACCATACCATGAGACTTCGTGCAAACCTTCGGAACATTCGGGGACACTGTAAAGACGATTCCACTAGGGAGCATTAAAATTGTATTTAATGTGGTTGTTATTATTTTTCTTATCATAATCATTATTGTTACTAATGTGTTATAATTCATTTTCATGGGTAGTCAGAATGCTTTTAATTCGTGCACACCAGATTATGCATTTCCAAGACACGTTACCTTTTTTAGAATAAGACCTAACTTTCACTTTGTAGAAACGCATTGACTTGTCCTAGAACAAGACACCGTACTCACGCACTAAACACATTTCGGGCACCGCCACTGACAATGACGATTTTCGATTGGATACGCTGAAAATTTTAATAGTAAAAGATTGGTTTGGGGCAGGCTGTCAAGTAAATGAAATGTTCGTATTCCTCTATGGCCAAACATACAATACTGTCTACGCTGGATTAGAACAAAATAAAATCATGCATTTTTTGTGCATGTGCGTGACGACAAGAACAAGATTTTATGCGATTCAGTCCACAGTTAGGAGTCATGCTGTGTGGATCAGCATTTTAAAGATTGGCTCAGTGTGAACAACAAATTCTTGTCCCGTGCCTGATCTCAAATTCCAATGCCTGTAGTAGCTCCTATGTAGTCTTATACCGCTGGCTATTCAACGACAGATTCTTTTGCTTCAAAGGCAGGGTTACTGAGGCCCTGTTTGCTTCCAATTTTCTTCATGGCGTTTCCATTTTCGACAGAAGGTTCCTTGGGGTCTTTGACGACAATCTCCAGAGCCGACTCATTGGTTTTATATTTCTGAAAGAAGACAACAGGACACGTTCGACATGTGAGAAGTCAGGAGACATAAATCAACAATATAGGTTCAGTGAGTACAATGAAAGGAGCGCATGCGTTCTAGACGGGAGGGACACTTTGATTGGAAAGGGGGGGGGGGGGCAGGGAAAGAGTTTTGAGAAGGAAATGAGGAAAACGTGATTGTAAGTATATTTAAGGGGTGAAAGGGTTGAGGGATAGAGGCGTTGGGGGGGGGGGGGGTGAATGGGTGTAGAGCAGGCTAGCTAATTAGTTGAATCACACCTAAGAAAACGCAATTTCTGACTTGTTCACATAAATTAAAGATCAATGAAAGCAAGAATAAAATGTCTCATATCTTGCGAATGTTGGATTCGACATCTGAATAGATTGCAAAGTCAAACGTTTTTCACCTTTTACTTCACATCGCAAATATTTCTGGGAGGTAACCCCTAATCGCACGAATGCATCAACAGAAGCAAAGAGTCTACATAACAAGAGGGGCCACTTCTCTCTTTGAGCCAATTAAAAAAGTGTCCTCAAAATTCGGTGGCGCCCTCTTCACAAAAGCGCACCTTTTGCGAACAGAGTTACCCTACTTGAGTTTAAAAAATCAAAGTGAAACTAGCAAGTTTTTGAATAAATTTCGGAAGAACGCTTTTTAAAAAGGGTTACGCTGACCTGAGGAAAGGGTGATTGTTTTCTTCGTTTAATTTTACTTTAGAATGAAAGGCGAGAGGTCATTAAAATTAAAAAAAACCTAAAACTCCACACTTAACGAACACGAACTGCTGATGAACAGCAGTCGATCTGCGCACGCAAGGAGGTGCTATTCCTATTCTTCTTCTGGAAAAACGAAAGAGAGCTTCAAAACAGACTGCAGCGCCATCTGAAGCAAAGAGCATACTTCCAGCGGACACTTTTTTGGCTGAGTGGCCCATCTTGTTATTTACTATCTTTGACAGAAGTATAATAATATCGTCTACTTCGGACGAAAAAAAAGCAATTCACAAACTTTCTTATGGTACACTGGGTCAATGTTGATGTCATAATTAAGCAAGGCTAACCTACCCCTTTATGGTCCACCCCAAAGCGCAATGGCTTGAGCACACACTCTGGTAGATAAGGGAACACGATGTCAAACAGGGGGCAGATGTACCGGGGATCCACGCTGGACGGCTTCGTCCGACCTGAAACAATACTTCTATTGTACTGCCGATGTTGAATAAGTAATGACCCGCGTGTTTCTTTATTTGCTCGGATGTATTACAATCAAATCAACCAAACTCTGAGTAAAAACCTTTAAAAACAAACCTGACAGAACACACCGTCATTGCTTTAGTCAAAGAAAAATAAACCCCTCTGACCCGATGACAATCATTGACTCTAAAAAGTTCATTGTCAGGCGATTTCGACACATTAATTAATAGGAAAGAAATTAAACAAAACAGCAATACCATCCTCTCACACAGTTCCATTAAATCACTTATTTGAAGCTTATTACTTACATTGCTATTGCGCATGGTGAATCAGTAGTCTGTGAAATCTTTGAAAAAAGTAATATGTGCATTTGGCCAGAATTCGATAACCTATAGACACCTTTCTCTACATTTTGCTTGTTTTGAGAAAGTATACGATAACTCATAGCTCACTGTTAAAGACTTTGTTAAGTGAAAAAGGGAAACAGATAGTCAGCTGTTCTTCCAATACGGGATATTCTTCCCTCTTCAATAAGATACCACTTATACACTTTAACAGGGGCGGCTGGTGGTTTGTAGAACTGACCGGCTGTAATTCCCATCGATACCTCCCCCCCCCCCCCCTCAGAACACGTACAACACACAGACAGATAGACTGACAGACAGACAGACAGACAGACAGACAGACAGACAGACAGACAGACAGACAGACAGACAGACAGAC